CTCTTGATTTTTTTACGATAGTATGAGAAATATTTCTTTTCTCGTATGATACAGCAAACAGCCATACTGCTCTAATTAAAAATCCTTCTGATATGTTCAAATATTGTGTCTTATAGTTATTTAGATGTCATGGAAAACTTTAAAGTTTCTATCACTAAAATATTCGAATAATATGTTCTAACATGTAAAACCATTGTTTGTTTTTGTGCATGCAGATCATGACCATAGTGTTTATAGCGTTCAGTGAAATAATACTACTCCATGTTACTTCCGATAATATATAAATCAAAAATTTGATAAAGAAAATAGAACTATACTTAATTCTTAAAAAAAGAATAATCAAATTCTATTAATTAGTTCAAGAAATATTATAATTCTTGCAATTAGTTTATGAATGATACTTGTCATCGAGAAATTAGTAACTAATTATTCATAGAACAAGTCTTGACTACTAATTCCTTGGTAAAAAAAATAGAGACAAGGTAATTTTGCGTATGTATGAAAAAAAATTGAAAAAAATTTTATGTTCTTACTTTTTGCTCTTTTCTTACAACAAATTTTCTCTCATTTTTGTTGTATCCGTCATTAGTTTCTTTTTAACCCACGCGTACGCATAGATCCTTTTCCGCTATTTGTTTATTTTCCCCATTTTGTACATTTAGTCAAAAAACGGGAGAGAAAAAACCTATTATTATTATTTTTGAATGATTGATTGTCTTGAAAAGGTGCAAAACAATGGTACAGTGGTGGTGGTAACATTGGAAGAGGAAAAAAGTGACACTAGAACTAATCATAATCATAGTAAATATATATATATATATATATGAGAGAGAGAGAATATACTGATAATAAACGAAACTTACCTTACGTAAAAAAACGCGTAATACGCATGTTAGAAGTGAAAGAGAGAACAGAAGCTAGTCTATATATTTTCAACGAAAAAACAACAACGTGTAGAAGGAAGACCCATTAACATTTGAAGTGCTTCTTTTATTTCATTAAATTATCGACCTTCAAATTTATGTAACTTATACCGATATCACTAATTTTAACAAAAAAAATTAAATAAATAAATAAATAACGGTTTGCAAATAGTTTTGACAGATTTCGAACTGGTAAGTGTGAATCTTATCTATTTTGTGAAAAGAATAGTGCCTAGAAACTTATCATAAGTGTATCAAAAGAAATGACATACTTGTTTGTTCTAAAGGAATTTTTTCTCACAGTATTAAGTCTATAAACTAGATTTACGAAAGAACCTTCCTAACTGATTCTCTGTAATCACAATAAGGATAGATTTTCAGACTTATTTCTAATACTAATCACGACTCTAATCTTCATTTGTATTAGAATTTCGTTCTCTAGAGATCTTAAATATAAATATATTCAAATTGTAGAACACGACGCCTGATTACTAATGTAGCAAATTTGTTCTGCAATGCTAGAAAATTCTCAAAGTAATACAGAGCAGAGAAACTCAGAGTTCTTAATATAATAAGACGAATCTTTTTTTTGAGCTCTACGGAATAATGCTCATTAGATCCAATAAATTTTCTACATAAATAACTTGACGTATTCTACAATTTGAACGTATTTTATATTGAAGATCTCTAGAGAACGATTCTCAAAGGCCCTGCGAACGCAAATGAAAATCGAATTGGTTCTTCTTTTTTTTACTAATAAACAGTTTATACACAAAAAAAAAGAAAATCAGATTAGTGATCAGTATCAAGAATAAGTCTGAAAATCTATGCTTATTATGACCTCGAAACGAAATCCAAACCAAGCCAACGAAAAGATTTTTTAATGACCTTGTTTATTCTTTATATATAATAAAGTTTTCTATCTTCTATCCACTAACGAACGAACTGTGGTACTTTTGAGAGATCAACGTACGACTCACCTTGCATCTCTTATCAGATTTATTATTTATGTAGCAGACGGTTGCGTACAGATGACTAACTTTTCAGGTACTTTTCTAGTAACTTTAAGTAATCTAGTATTTTTACGCTATTTTACATCTTATCTATGTACCTTCATACTATATTTATTTTTTCCTGCTTTCTTATCAAACATCTGTACCTACAACAATTCTCGAACAGATAAAGGATACACATAACGTTTTTCTCGCATCTTTTTTTTATTTTTTCTGTCGTTCTCATTTATAATAAAATAAAATATAGAGGCACAAATCATAAAGAACTGAGTTTGTAAGAAACCTACTTCTAGTTTCGATTTCTGTAAGAACAATCTATTGCGCATTCGTAAGCATAGTTAATATCAATCCCACTAAGAAATTCGAAATGCTTATTCGACCACAATCGACTGTAGATTCGGATTTTCTATAGTCGATTATCTTATGCATAACAAATTATGGATCAGAACACACTCAAAAGATTTTTCTGCAGCGTTTTGTTTTGCTCAATAATTTTTCTGAAGTTCCTGGAGAACAAAGACACTTCGAAAATTTTTTCGAGAGTATCTCGATCCAAAAGTTATTAGATACAAGGAAACCGACTACAGAGAATCCGGATCTACAATCGATTCTGTCTGAGCAGGGCTCTGCTCAATTTATAAACCAGTTTTGCAAATTCTCGATCGTATTAAGATGTGTACCACTCAAATACAAACTTCTTGTTTTTATTAAAAATGTTTGTCTGTTTTCTAGAAGGTTGAAATGTTTAGTATTTCTATTACATTTCAAGCTTTGATTATGGTGATATGTTATCATCTTTATTTATTTCTCCAAGAAGATGGATATGTGCATTACAATATATCAATCTTTCGCGTGGTTTTTTGTTAAATGTTTAAGTGTTTATAAACACGGTTGAGAGTCAAAGAGGGCTTTCAACGGGGTGGTCGAATAAATATCTAAGGTGGATGAGTGAACTTTAGTCTTTGAGGCACGAGACAGAAACAAATTGACGACGGTTAGCGTCCTCTAATATAATCTGAATGATATCAACAGAAAATATTAAACAACTCAAATAATTCTAAACTTACAGCGTTTTCTACTAGTACTGTTTAGGCGTTTCTTGGTTATTTATCTATGTAACTCAGGAGCTCGCGTACTCTCTCAACTTGCTTGGCTACGAACCAATGAAATCGATGCATGAATCATATACATGCACATTGTGGATCACAATATGTACGATAACATATGTTAGATGTAAAAATCAGACGTAATGCAGTACTGTCAATGTGTCAGTCTCACATGGGCACTAGCGACTTATACTTAACTTTCACGCCTATCATACCTGGATCCACACTATGTATGTATGTATGAATGAATGAGTTTCTTTCTAGATTCACATTCATCTCGTATCTATAAGACTATATTTTTTCTATTAGACGTTTGTGTAAAATTTTGATGAATTGTACAAAATTACTTTTAAAACATACAGGTGAGCATAAATAGAGAAATAGCTTGAATTCTGGTTGAGAAGTGAATTTATGTCTGAATCTCAGAAGTTACGTATACTAAAACTTGAAGCCAAGAAAGAACATCCACTCGAAGATGATGCCGCGGATTCCTCACGTCATCGGATTTGTATACAGAAATAAGATAACTCTCCTGGAAGTGCTCGACTGCAGAATTTAGGAGGATATTTCATAAAAATTCTTAAGTGCTCGACCTAACTAAACCTAGACCTAAGTGTATAAAATTAACATGTAAGATCCTGGAGACTTAAGAATCTTACGGAGATTTAAGTTTAGACTTAGTTAAGTCGAGCACTTAAGAATTTTTATGAAACACCCCTACATTTATCTTTTATGCGTGCCTATTTTTAACGAGGGTCACTGTTTTATAGGTATTGAAACCTTTAGTAACCTTTTATCCATTGTTGATTTAAATAGATTGTAATGTATTATGCTGTATTGAAGAAGCGAGATACTCCTAGGCTAATAAAGTTGCAACATCTCAATTAAATGTATCTTTCTTGCGAAGTCATTTTTAGTGTTTTTGTTTCAGTCACGAGGAAACTTGTTTTTATGAATCCTCTATCAAACGTACAAGTAAAACCAGAAGTTTCTTCTTTTTCTGAGAAGAAAGGAGTTTCGATGAGTAACTACAAATTCAAAGCAGATGTCATTAATATAAGTGCAGAGTAATTTCTATTCTTTAGTGTAATAGAGATAGAATAACATCTGTTGGTCTTTCTTGAAATACCCAAGAAACTGTGGTACTTAAAAAGTTTTATATCTGATTTTAAAAAGGATATGGTCTATGGAGGATAGGACAATGCAAATATCATTAGTTTGCTGATCAATGTAAATGAAAATAATTTGAGCAAAAAAATATAGTAATGAAACGCATCTGACCTTGAAAACATACGAGAAACTAAGTAGAATCACTATTTACGATTTAAGACGATATAAGCGGTATTAGCCATAGAAATTTTTTTTGTAGTGAATAGATTAGTCGCCTTTTGCTAAATTTTTCAAGCTCTAATAATTTGGTTTTCTCCTCGAAAGATAACATACGCCAACACTTCACATTAGTTAAAATTGTATTTTACACCAATTAGTTTTTTTCAAGTGATCAATTATTAGTCTAATTTTTGTTCTTTTGTGTCAAAAATTTGTACAAAACTGTGTAGTAGAATGTAAATACTTACTTATATTATCGCTTTTATATGTCCACTACTATTACTGAGTACGAAAACGGAAAAAAATGATTGTGTCGATTATCGAAGTGTGAGGAAATTTTTAACATTTAGTTATATAGATGATATTTTCTCAGTTTCAAGTGTTCTTAACAGAATACGGTAATACCATTATTAAAGAGCAAGAACTAACTAATTTTGTAATTTAATGATTATACAAAATTGTATAATTAAATGATTGTATACACATTTTTTGACTTATTGAAAAACAAAAGAAGTTAAACTGAAATGAGAAATTAAATTCACATGTTATTTTTTTCGTGGTACTATAATAGGAAAAGTACTAGCAACAAATCAACAAACAAATAGTTAGTTCTTTTCATTTTCTAGTGTATGTCAAAAAGCTCAACGATCGACGAAATAAAAGTGGTTGTCATTGGTAAATTAAACTCAATTTTAATTACTTTTTTTCAAAAGTTCTTACAAAGTGCATAAAACAAATACATCATGGTCTTTGTTCTAGGGGATGGATATACCGGAAAGACAACACTGTGCGTTGTATATAAAGACGGACAATATCCACAAGATCCATATGTGCCAACAATTTTTGAAAACTATGCAGGTAAAAAAACGCATCTCACATCTGCTCGTAAACTTCTGATTCCTCGCTTTATTATTACTGTCTATATCTTCCGATTAGTTTTATTTCAAATTTAATATTCAAAATTGCGCATCTTAGTTTGACTTTACATAACTTGAGATTTCAACTTATCGACAGTAAGCTTCATTTTCAAATTTAAGAGATATATTTTGTTCAAAAGACTTTTGTAGCGTTTCAATTGAAATATACAAGTTGTATGTCTTGTACTATGTATCCTTTATCGTATGTTAATGTTATAAAATAGTGTAGTATACTTTAGTTGAATAGAATAAATTCTTTCAAGTTTAATTCAATAAAACGAAATGAAAATGTTTGTTTCTCATTTTAGCAACAGTTACTTTATTTAATAAAAAATGGATACTCAATTTGTTCGATTCTGCTGGTCAGGTAAATTTGAAAAGAAAATCTTAGGAAACAAGGAATCTTTTTTTTTTCATCTTGTTTTTAAAATTAGGAAGAATATGATCAATTACGTATCATGGCTTATCCAAATACGGATGTTTTTATTTTATGTTTTTCCGTTGTTGATCCAGATAGTTATGCAAATATTCTTTCTAAATGGATACCAGAATTAAATCGTAAGTTATTAAACATCTTTTTTTTTTGAATCACAGAGTTTTTTCTTACAACTTTACTAAAGTTCATTGAAGAGCACTGGATTGAAAATGTTCTTGCGAATGTTGAACAATAGACGGTCATTTTATCAAAGTGTTTTGACTTAGACGATAAACCTTCTATTTTGCTCAATATAAAATCTCTTCATGGCTGTATTATTCTCTATCATTTTTGTTTTAGGCTATTCTTCAAAAGTTCCTGTAATATTAGTTGGCACAAAAATTGATCTTCGCAGTGATTTAACAACATTAGAACAATTGACTAAAAAACAACAAAAACCTATTACACAAAATCAGGGCGAGTATTTAGCTCGTCTATGTTCGGCTAAACGTTATATTGAATGTTCATCAATGTTAAACTTTAATGTTAGAGACGTATTTGATCAAGCTGTACACGCACATATGATGCATTTAAGGCGAACACAGTTAAATTGTTCGTGGATAAATAGTTTAATATGTTGTGGTAGTAGAAGGTTGAATAATAAAAAACATAAAATACCAAATATTCATGATTAGTTCGTTGTTGTCGTTTTTTTTTATTTACATGGAAAAATGATATATATTTTTGTTTTTTCAGCTCAAAGCAAATGATATTTTTCTCTTCGTTATTGTGAAAAAAAAATGATTCCATTTTGTAAACTTTTACTTCTGATTGTATGTTGTGTAATTTTTTTTTAAATATTTTATCGTTTACCATTCAAATATTATGTCCACAGTTGAACTGTGATTTGTTTTTATTGTACGTGTATTTTTTTTCTTTGTTTTGTCTGGTTAATTGCCACACTTTATTTGTTTATTTCAATAAGTTATATGATCATATTTAAGAAAAAGTTCTTAATATAAATATATAACGTGGATTTTTCGTTTATACATGTTCATTATCGATTGAAGAGCAACCGTTCATGGAAAGAAGAATATAATTGGAATTCCACGTTTGTCGTCGTCTGTTGATAAACGAATCTTTTTTTTCACATTCCCACACCTTATAACAAAGTACGTGGCTATTCGGCCATAATTTTTCTTCTTTATACTTGTTCGCAATGAATTAGACAGGAACTTAGTGAGCACTAAAATTATTTTTGATTTTTGTAAACGGTTATAAAACAACCATTATTTACAAATGACTACCTTTTGTCGTGTTCATGATATCGTACATCCATTCTTTTTCCGAACTGATGAAAATCATTTGATTTAACTTAGATAATAACATAACAATATTACAATTTGGAACTACGCTAAATGTCAACAAAAATTTGATTATAAACTGTGTAAAACCTTAAAAGATTCTGCATCTTTTTGTGTTGTAGTGTATTTTTATCATGATGGTAAGTATAAACTTTCAAGACACATAAATAATCCCGCCGAAACGGTTTTTGGTGTAGAATTTTCAAGTACTTGAATGAACACCGTTTGAACATACAGAGTTGTAGAGAATTGAAAACGGTAGTAAATTCAATTCTAACTTCTTTTTCAGTATGTTATAATTACATATTAGCTACTTATATTCTAGATATTATCGGTAGCTGCTTCGATCTAATTATTATTATTATTATTATTATTATTATGATAAATAGTAATTGGCAATGACTGAAGTGAAAAATGTAATACTTAAAAACTCATAATTATGTGCTACTCACTCTAAGTAAATTTTTGTTTTTAGATTGAGGATGATTCGTTACAAGGAACAAGTTCAGAAGTAGAAACAGATACAACACCAACCACTGATCGACAACAGAATGAGAATATTTCATTTTCTTTTGCACATATCATCAAGGTATGTTGGTAAAAATTACACTGAACTATAAACAGTTTTGCAAATCTTATCAGACCAAAATTCTTAAAATAAAAGAATATTGCACAATAGGGGTTTAGCAAGCAGATAAGAAGATATCTCCTTCCACATAAGATATCCCATGTGCGGACATTTTTTCGTCTCAACGCATTGATAGAAAAGACTCAAATATCAAAAAAAAATCTAGTATCGCCCGATTCATCTAGATTACTGGTTTTTTACTCGATTGCAACTATTGGGTAATGACCGTGAAAATCTAGTAATCGGGCGATTGCTTAGTTTTTTCTAGTTGCAACTATCGATTTAACTATTGCTAGTTAAGACGCACCTGGTTAAAAGTCCCTTTTCTAACTAGGAATCTAGATGACAATTAGTCATGTATCGCCCGATTACAGACGAAACGTATCTAGATTTTTCCTGTAGGTAATGTTTGCTTAGGGAGAACAGAAAGATATGCATGTGTGAAAAGAGATATCCCCTTATTTGCTAGCTCTCTAATAAAAGACAAGTTTTAGACAGAAGAGGAGTTTCGACGATTTTTTGTTAAAATTTGAGTTGAATTAGCGGATAAAATAGAACAAGAGATGATCTTCTATTCTGGCAGAGAGGATGCAGTGTTAATAAACTATAAATAACCAAATTTAAAAAAATTCACTCAGTCGATTTTTAAGATTTTTAAGATATTATTGAACAGAATCCATACAAGTTTCTTTTTATTTAAGGAAAATCATGGAAAAGTGATATACGACATTGCCGTTAATACACAGGTTCAAAGTGATGGCGTTCTTTTTGCCACTGTTGGTGCAAATTCAGTATGAAGTACAACTCGATCTTTTCTCTAATATAGTTGTCATGTTCTCGTTTAGATTCATGTCTACAGATATGATACAAATGGCAAAATTCATTTGATACATGGTTATTTAGATCCTGATGTATCCTCTTTTTCTCATGCGTATTAAAAAAAAACGAAACTAAAATATTCATAAAGATCTTTAACTAAATTTTTAGCCAGAGGAAATGTTTTATACATGCGCGTGGACACTTATCAATGATTCATCAACATCCAACCAGCCAAAAGTTTTACTGGCTGCTGCTGGATTTCGTGGAGTTATTCGAATAATTGATATAACAAATCAATGGAATCCTAATTCTGTAAATAAACGGATTTACAAATGTATTCACACGACATATTTCTATTTTGTTTTCTTTTAGTTGAAAAATGCTGGCGAAGTTTATCATCTGGTTTTTTCAAAAACAAAACCAAATTTATTAGTAACAGCCAGTAAAAGTGAGTCTTACTCAACACATCAACATAATACATTCTAAAATATATCTTTATTTAGATTGTACAGTGTGTCTTTGGGATGTTCTAGCGTCAATAAATTTAGTTATTTTCCACGGATCAAACGGACATACAGATCAAGTCATATGTGCAGTGAGTACAATATAAGTGCATTATTTTGGAGTAATAAATGTAAGAGAAATAGATTGATAGAAAAAAAAGAGAACAAACGCCCAATTAAGTTAACTTGAAAGAAGGTTCATCTATTGATTTTCTATTCTCTGAAAAGCTTGTGTCCATAGTTGATCTTGATCCTTAGAAAAGAGAAGTAAGTGTACAATAAATCAAGCACTTCTATTTTAGGATATAAACGACGAGGGTACGATGATTGCATCATCTGGCATGGATTTAACAATTAATCTATGGTCCTTAACAAAAGATGAAATTGTGAAACAAATTCAGATAGCCGAAGATAATCGGAACAGTAGCAAAAAGCGGTAATAATAAAAGGAGCTGTTCATTGCCATTATTATTCCGAATAAAAAGATAACTTCTTTGTTTTAGATTAATAAAAACATCTCGTATTGCATTTCCCGATGCACAAGCAACATCAGCTCATGAAAATTTTATTGATTGCATTAAATGGTATGATGACTTAATTATTTCTAGAGTAAGGCGATAATCAGTCATTTTCTCTTCAAAAAATAAAATGTTTTCATGTAATTTGTGTTGTTATAGGCTGCTGATGATACATTTTGTATCTGGCAGTGTTTAAATCAGCCCAAACCACAAGTATTGTTCCGATGGGAACTATCTGAACCAGAACCATATTGGTTCATTAAATTTGGAATATCATTTGCCGATCAGGTGCGTTGACTGTATTTTTCCTCGGTCATTTTTCAAATGAACGTATTTCAGTTTTTGGCATTTGGTTCTTTTAATGGAAAGATAACCGTATGGGATTTGAAAAAGCTGGGCAATCCAATTAAGTAGGAAAAACAAAACTTCGATACATCATTTGTGTTTGTTATAGCTTTGATTGTTTTCTTTTAGGCCTGTAACAAAAGTTAGTCATCCTGAATTGAAAACATATGTAAGAAAAATATCGTTTAGTCATGATGGGAAACTTTTAATGGCGTGTTCTCAGGACAAAATATTTATATATAAAAAAACAGTACAAAACAATCACATTGATCGTTCTTAAACACTTTTTTTAATTTTTCTGTGTTTGTTATATTCTTGTCTAAAAATTGTACGGTAGCCTCTAAGAGGCAAATTTCATCGTTAATAGCGTTGCTTCTAATTCAAATAGTTTTTCAATTAGAATGGACAAAATTTCGAAACTGGTTATCCTATACACGACAAAAAAGTCAAAATTAAGAGCAATGATTGTCCTTCAAAAACAAAAGGAAATTAAATTGTTTTTGCACAACAAAAACATCCTTCATTACTTATTGATTCCAGTTTAGAAGATTGATTTTTTATCTTTCCTTCAACTATGGTTGGTTTTATGGTTACATCACTCGCTAGAAAGAAAAATATATGAATAAATAAGAAAATTGTATCTATAAATAAAAATAAAAATAAAATACGATGCACCATTGTATCCCTTATAACTAATATAATTTCTGGTTCTAGAATATTTGGAGTCTCGTACAAAGAGAAACATCAACGATATGAACAAATCACATTCTCATTGTAAAATTCAAGAGTTTGCCTGTTGTTCTCGAGAAATAAATCTCCAATAGAAAATTTAACAATTTCTCAAATCTTTTACTGACACCAATTTTTTCATATATTCGGAACGTTTATCCAAATTGCCGGAATCATTCATTTTTCGCTTGAAATTCAATAGTGGATAATGTGTTCAATGTATGATTTATTTCAAAATGCAATAGACGCGGATATTTTTTTGGATAGTTTTTGATAGAAACATTTTCAGCGTTGCTGCTTCGGGAGCAAAACTTCCATAAGGTTGGTTAACACATATACAGTACTCCGTAAAAGTGGGGGGGGGGGGGGGGGGGGGGGGGGGGGGGGGGGGGGGGGGGGGGGGGGGGGGGGGGGGGGGGGGGGGGGGGGGG